CGCTGGGAGTGCGGCAGCACTCCCGCCATGGGTTTGGATCCTATATAGGGATGACCGGTGCTCTCACAGCGCTCACTGGCTGAGCGTGGTGCAGCCGGTCTCAAAAAGGACAAAAAAAAAAAAAAAAGTACAGTCCAGATGAGCACAAAATAAATATATTTTCATAACCAGGTACCTCTCCATTAATTTGATTAAGAGATAATCCTAAGCAGGAACACTGCCCTATATCTGCACCACTCCTAAAAAGCAACTGAATATGAAGTATCAATAGTAGTGTGGTTAAAAGGGCTTACCCAGCCAAAAGACTCAAAGGGGAGAGAACACTTGTAACATAATCCTGCTCTGTCTAACCACAACTCCAAGCTCAGGTCCAACCCCAGCACTTTGCTGTATTTGTTCCTTGGCCCTGACTACATACTACCTAAAACTAAAATCATGCAGCACAAATTAATGAAGAATATATATTTATTTATTTACTTATACAACATATTATATATTAGTACTATCAGGTATGATGAAGGACAAGCATCTTATCTTCATAGTGTTCTTCCTAGCTGCAAAATACATTACAAATAAAGTCCTCTAACCAATGAAAAGATAATACATTAAACACAATCCATCTTTAAATGAACTTTATTTAAATTAACCACTCTGGGGCTGGCTGGTTAACTCAGTTGGTTGCAGCACGGTGTTCATAACACCAAGCTCAACGGTTTGGATTCCCATACTGGCTAGCAGCAAAAACAACAACTGAATTAACCACCCTGAAATAATCTTATTTTGCAGGGAATAATTTGGTGTGAGTTTAAATTTTTACACGGTCACTTCACAAAAAAAATTGCTGAATTACTAATAATTTCTATATAACGAGGTAGAAGAAAGGAGGGGAAAACTATGAAATCACGTCTTCTGGGTCAAAGGGATCTTCTAAAAGTGTCCATCAATTAATCCAGTGGATCCTCTCCCTGGCTGCACATTAGGATCAAATGGGGCACTTTTATGAAATACTGATTCCCAAGGCTCATCCTAGAATAATTATGTCAGAATCTCAGGAGGTAGGTAGGATCCTAGGACTGGTAGTTTTTAAAACTCTCCAGTTGATGTTAATGTACTACCAAAGCTGAGAATCACTAATTCAACAATGGTCTTCTGAAAACCTTCCCTACATATTTACTAACTGCAATTTCCTGGTTTTCTTATGCTTCAAATTTTATACTAAATTTTAACATGATGATGCTGAGACCACAAATGCTTTAGCTTATGCTAAATTAATACTTTTTTCCTTTGATTGAAATAAAGCATCTGCTTACTTCTGTTTGGGTGAAGAACATCCCAAGATATAAACTAAGCTGTTAAAGAAAAAGTTACTATAAACGACTTACCCATGTGAATCAGCATTTTGACATTACAACCAAAATGAAATACAGAATAAACTAGATATCAAGATTGATAAGATCTTAACTCTTAAAATAAAAATGCTCTAATTAGTCTCATTGATTGACTTTGAACAAATGTTATAAATCTGAACTGAATAAGTCATTAACGAAACCCCCACACTATGCAAGAATTTCTTCTGGCACAACGTCAACAGCAGTCAAGCTCTGCTTGAATACTTTCTGTAATGAGGAGCTCACTAACTCTTAGGTATCTATTTCTATTATAAGGCAGAAAACAGTTAAAAAAAAAATTATTTCTTGGGGCCAAGCCCATGGCGCACTCGGGAGAGTGTGGCGCTGGGAGCGCAGTGGCACTCCTGCTGTGGGTTCGGATCCTATATAGGGATGACCAGTGCTCTCACAGCACTCACTGGCTGAGCACGGTGCGGCTGGTCTCAAAAAGGACAAAAAAAAAAAAAAAAAAAAAAATTATTTCCTATTCTAATGCAAAATATACTTCCTTATACTTGCAAATTGCTCGTCCAACATTCACCAATAAAGCACCATAAAATAAATTCTCTGATGTACCAGACTTTCAAATATTAGGAGAGTTATCATATTTCATTTGATCTTTTCTAGGCATCCCTAGTTCATTCTACCATGTTGCCTTAACCTAATACAATTTGCTAAAAAGTATTACTCAATAAGTGTTTGCTAATACAACATTATTACAGCACTGAAGGAATTAAACTTTTTGAATTTATATAATGGACATAAAATGAAATATAAATGAAGTCATGAATGCCATCTCTATAAAGGAAACTATTTTTTTTTAACCTTGGAAATACTTTGCATTTAGCTAGTCCTGCTTCTGGCTAAATCTAAACCCTAATGAATTTGGTTTGCTAAGAGCAAGGATTTCTAATAAGAGGTGGACAGAGTCCAGCACAGGGCTGTCAAAACTGGACTAATAAAAAGAAATTACTGCAGAGAAGGTACACAAGAAATAGTAATGAAAGATGTTTTCTTTTTTTTTTTTTTTTTCCTTTTTGTCTTTTCTCGTGACCGGTAATGGGATCGCAACCCTTGGTGTCGCGCCCGCACCACGACCGGCAACGGGATTGCAACCCTCGGTGTCGCGCCCGCACCGCGCTCAACCAGTGAGCGGACCGGTCTCTATATGGGATCCGAACCCTAGGCAGGAGCGCCACGGCGCTCCCAAGCGCCGCACTCTACCGAGTGCGCCACCGGGCCGGCCCGAAAGATGTTTTCTTAATCCAATAATTGACTACTACCTTTATAAAATCAAGTTAGAACATTATTCTGAAATTACCAACATAATAAATCAAAGTTAATTCTTGTTTCCCTAACCTCAGACTAACAAGCACAATTTAAACATGGTAGATGTTAATAAAAACAAAAACCGATGTACCAGGACATTTGTTTAGCTATCTATTTGTATGGTTACTTATGAAACAAAAGAACAAATTCTTAACACCAGAATCACTGTGTAATGTAACTTTCCACTAACACTTCTTATTTCTAAATTACTAAATACTATTCTGTATTCTGCACTCTTCAGAGACAACAGCGTACTAACAGGCAATTTTTATGAGTTGTTTAAAGATGGTTTCTAATTTTAGTCTGCAATAGAAATCAAAATTGGCAAGAGCCACATAAGTACAAGCTGCTTTAAAATGAACACACACTATACTGAGACTCAACAGGAAACTTCTGTTTAAAAATAATTTATGCTTTAATATCAAACCAAACTCACAGATACATAGAGATTTTCAATGAGCAATTTACTTTCTCTTTTTAACCTTTGAAAAGGTTAAGAAAAGCAGCATTCTTTCTGTATTATTTCTTTTTGTGGGACTACACAACAATAATCTTCATTAATAACAAAATACTTTTTAGAAACTAATGGAATGTTCATTCATTCATTCAATCCTGTGCCCTAGAAAATCTTCAAGGAAACTTTTTTTTCTTCTCAATTTGCACTCAAGAAACAAAGCAAAAAGCAAGTTTGAAAACTCATAAATGTTTAATGAGTTATAAATGACACACATGTTTAATGGCCTCATTTATGTTATCGTAAATATTTCAATGTTCTCTTAAGTCAAAAAAAAGGCAAGAAGTCATAACAATTTTGAATTAAATTTAAAAATTCAACTATTACACACAATATTCTTGGAGTAACTGATTTAAATATCTCATTTCAAAGGGAGACGAAATAAAAGGGTGTCACTGATGTATTATAGAACATTTACTTACTCCTACATTCAACTTCAGGTTCCTCTAATCCAGTTTGCCTGGTGGCTACATTAGCTTCATCAGCCACTTGGGATGTTTCCATAGTGTCAGATGGCCCAATTACATCACCAATACTTGTTTCCAATAAGTCTGGGCCATCTAGCAAATCAATATTCGGAGGGAGGCTGTAAAGATAATAAGAAAGCTTATTTAGATCAAGAACTTTATCATGAAAAGAATTTTAAATACTAACAAAAATCTCTGTTGAAAACAGATTCATGAAAGAGTTTGTATTCCAGCTGGCTTTTTTATTCATCCCTCAAAACCCTTTGGGCAAACTTCTCCTTCTAGCAAAGATAGAGTAAAAGGGATTGATCTACCCTCCCACCTGAAATAACCTGAGTGGAAAAATAAACCATTTTCAAGACACTAGACACCAGGCAAGAAAAGACAGTCATTCTATGATTCAGGGAACAAATGACGTGAGCCCTATGAGTGACCTGAGAGAATATGCAATTTGTGGTGCAGAGGAGGGGGAAATGAGGCAGAGCACAGAAGACTCCCTTGTTTTAAAAGATGCATCTGAGAGTCCAGGGAGACCAAGGCAGCTAGAGGTCACAGGACAGAGTGCCAAAGAGGAGAGAGCAACAAAGAGAGTAGCCTGGAGGTATTTGGCAGAGTACTAATGAGAGCATGTATGTGACAAAACTCCCTAAGCCTCCAGAATGAACTACCTGAGTGGATTAGAGAGAACTAGTGGCACTTACACTGGCCCACAGTGCTTGTTTCCACAAGCAGACTGTAAAAACATATAATTCACAGGGCACTGAGTATTCAGGAAGGTCTTGCCTCAGTAGTAGAGAACGATTACCCTACACTGAGCACTGCAACAAACCCACCCAACAAATCATAAGAGTGAGACCTGAAATAATCAAACTGCTTCCAAGTAACTTAACTATATCCCCCAGAAACTCAAAAAGACTTAGAAAAATACAAAAATATCCACCACCCAACAAAGTAAAATTCACAATGTTAGACATCCAGTCTAGATTACCAGCAATGAAGAAAAAAAATCTCCTACTAAAGCTAATGATGGGGCCGGCCCGGTGGCGCACTGCTACAGTGCGCCGCTTGGGAGCGCAGCGGCGCTCCCGCCGAGGGTTCGGATCCCACATGCGGACCAGCCGCTCACTGGCTGGGCGGGGTGCAGTCGCAACACCGAGGGTTGCGATCCCATTGCCGGTCCCGGTCCGGTACGGGCGCGACACTGAGGGTTGCGATCCGTTGCCGGTCACGAGAAAAGACAAAAAGGAAAAAAAATAAAAATAAAAATAAAAATAAAGCAAACGATCAATCCATTGAAAATCAATTGAAACTGACCCAGAACTGACCCAGATGTTAGAATTAGAGAAAGATATTATAACTATATTCCATATGCTCTAGAAGTAAAACAGAAACATGGAAGACATTTAAAATAAACTGCTAGAGATGAAAACTACAATATCTGAGATGAAAAAATATTGAATAGCATTGACAGCAGATTAGACATTAGAAAAAATACTGAACTGAAAGCATAGCAACAAAAACTATACAAAATAAAATAAAGAGAAAAAAAGAATCCAAAAATAAGAAAGAAAAATTATCAGTTAGCTATGGGACAAGTTCAAGCAGCCTACTATATGGATAACTGGAGTCCCAAAAGTGGAGGTGGGACAGAATCTGAATAAATAATGGCTGAAAATTTTCTGAAATTGGTGAAAACTTTAAACCCACAGATCTAACAATCTCAGCAAATCCCAAACACAAGAAATATGAAAAAAACTACACCAAAGCACGTCATAATCAAACTGCTTAAAACCAATGATAAAAGTAAAATCTTGAAAGCAGCCAGAGTCATTACATGTTCCAAAGAACAAGATAAGGACGACAGTAGATTTCTCATCAGAAGCAATGCAAACACAAGGATAGTGAGGAACATCTTGAAAGCACTGGAAAAAAAAAAAAAAAAAACTACCCAAAACAAAAACAAACGCAAACTTAGGTATACACCCAGGAGAAATGAGACATACATCCACACAAAAACGTGCACGTGAATGTTCATAGCAGCATTATTCATAATAGCCCCAAAGTGAAAACAACCTAAATGCCCATCACCTGCTGAATGGATAAATAAAATGTCGTATAGCCATAGAGTAGAATATTAGTCAGCAATGAAAAGTAATGAAGTACTAATACATGTTATGACATGGATGACCCCTGAAAATATGTTGAGGAAAAAAGGCTGTCAGAAAATACCACATACTGTATAATTCCATTTATATGAAATGTCCAGAATAGGCAAATCCAGAGACAGAAAGTAGATCTGTGGTTGCCATGGGCTGGAGGAGGGTCAGAAAGGAATGGAGATTGACTGCTGTGATATAAGGCCTGAAAGTAGATTCAATAAGTGCTACTTCGACATCTGTGAGCCTTGCAGGGCCCCAAAGGCCTAACCACAAGTTTCCCTGCTCTCGTGAGATATGCCCCCCACTCACTGGAAAATGCTCCCTATCTAGCTAGTTCCATTTTCAACTGGGTCAGCTGCACTCCACCCAGTCCTCAATCTAATTTCACTTCTCTGCCAGCCTGCAAAATTATTCAAACAAGCCAATAATATCTTCTGGTGGGAACTGGGGGTTACCTCCCCTTCTTTTTACTATAAAGCCAGCCTCCCACAGCCCACGTATGTTCACCTTGTTCACAAGTGCAACTGCTGTGTGCCCCTGTAGGATATAAGGTTTCCTCCTCCCCTGGGCTGTTAGTATATGTGACTAGTAAATTACTGTCCATCTCACCTGTCCAGTGTAGGGTGTTGTGTGTTCAGCCATTTCGTAATATTTAGGGCAGGGGATCCCTCCTTCACCAAATGGGTGAATAGGAGGTAATCAAAACAACTGCTAATGGGTATGGGGTTTCACTAGGAGGAACAAAAATGTTCTAAAATGAGACTGTGGTGATGGCTGCAGAATCCTATGAATATACTAAAAATAATGAATTGTCTACTTTCAATGAATGAATGAAATGGTATGTGAATTAGGTCTCATCTCAACAAAGCAGCTAAAAAAGGCAAAATAAAGACACTGTCAGATGTACAGAAGAATTCATGACCAAAAAACCCACACTTAAAAAAAAAAACGTTAAAGGGAACTGTCTGATTAGGTGACTTGGTTAGAGTGTGGTGCTGGTAACACCAAGGCCAAGGGTTCAGGTACCCTTACTGGCTAGCCACCATTAAAAAAAAAAAAAAAAGTTAAAAGAAGACCTTCTGGCAGAAGTAAAATGATACAAGATGCAAATGTGGGTCTAAATAGAGGAATGAAGACCAATGGAAAGGGTAACTACAAAGGTAACATATGTAAGGGTTTTTCCTTATTAGCTAAAACGTATGAAGACATAACTGATTATTTATTTATTTATTTATTTTCCTTTTTGTCTTTTTTCGTGTCCGGCAATGGATCGCAACCCTCAGTGTCGCGCCCGTACCGGACCGGGACCCGCAACGCGACAGCAAACCCTCGCGC